TTTGATGTTGAAATGTTGATAGCATTGCAATACTTTGGTTCTATAGTGAAATTTGCATTAAGCAAATGCAACTTGCCCTAGGGTTGTAAATGAAAATATTGAGCCAAGTGATACCTCATTTAAGCTTATTCATTTATTTTATTTTATATTTTGAGGCCACTTTGAATGTGACTGAAGTTTTAAAATATTATTCAGGCTTGTTTATTTATTTTTGAGTTTGAATCTTATTGAGTCTCTAATTATTATATGTTTGATGATTTAAGTGTAATAACAAAAAAATAATAATAATAATAAACAAAAACATGCAGGTTGTTAGAGTAGACGCTTCCCCTCGTGGAAACATATTGTTTATCCTTTCGAACATCTTCTCATTCAATACTATTAAACGATCAAATGAGAGATAGCTAGAGAGGAAACTACTGTACCCTAGCTGAAGGTGAAAGAAGAAATCGTAGAAAGAAGCACATGCGGCCGCTGTGTAGTTTCGGGCTATGCGAAAAAGAGGAACGAGAAGGAGGCGGAGATATCGAAGGCCTATCTGGACTGAGCTTTGATCGAGGAGGAAGCTAACGCTTATTTTGCTGGTGTTGTGCGAAGGAGAAGAAGCTGAAGAAGAGGAGGAAGGAGGCTGTGGGTGCTATTTGCGTCGAAGCCGACGATCCTTGTGTGCGGTTTGTGCAGAGGAAGGGGGTCCTATGCTTGGTTTGTTGGGATGAGTCGACACCGAAGGAGGAGGAAGGCAAGTCGAACTTCCTGCGGTGAAGTGAGGACGACTCAGTCGCTCTGCGTTGAGTTTAGATAAAAGTAGAGGGGTAAACTCTGCTGTTACGTTCGCGTGAGTTTGGGCAGGCCGAAAGTTTATAAGGTATAATTGAGATTTTAATTACATGAATATCTGTTATAATGTGTGGACGTGTTTAATAATATTATTGACAAATAATCTTTATCCTCTCCTATAATTTTAAAGTATGACACATCAACTTAATTTCTCTATTATTGACACACACTTGTGCATTGATACACCTAAAATATATAGAATTTTTATGCATATTTTTATGCCTATTTTTGAGATATTTCGCTTTAATGAAAGATATTTGTGTGGTTTTTTTCAGGTACAATCAAATGGATGAAAAATGGTAAAAAGAGCGAAAAAAAGTCAAATTTGAAGCAAAAATGAACTGAGGCCCCTAAGCGCCCAAGACTGGCGCTTACACGTCATTTATACAGAGAGTGTCGCGCCTGAGTGGCATGTACTCCGCGCTTAAGCGTCAGGAGTAGTTATTTGATGATTCATTGAATTTAGACGAATTTTTAAAGAAGTGTTTGAAGCAACCCTTGGTAAAAATGTTGGAAATAGCTCATGGACACAAAAATTCATTCAATTGGCTTGTGAAATGAGGCAACTTCTAGAAGATTCATTGAATGAAGACATTTTAAAAAGATATCAAGCATCTTTTGGATTTTTATAAAAAAGACTGATCATCAAAAGCGAGGGGCCAGCCAATCCCAACCAACAACCATCATCCATCCAAGTAATGTTTGTATTGTGAGTGGAGGAAGAGAATTCAAAGGAACTTCAGGACATATGGTGGAGAGAATTTGAGATAAGTGTTTTTCTTTGTGATTACATTTGATTTTAATTTAGATTCCTTGTTTGTGTGTATGATTTCTACCTTTAAACTCAAGTGTGGTTGTGTTTTCTCCACAGATGGTCAGTTAGAGAAACTATCCAGATATTGGAGGGTCCACTAAGGTTGTGTTCTTGACTTTGGTGGAGATTGGGAATCACATATATATAGTAGAGTTTGCTTACAATAACAGTTACCAAACTAGCATTGGGATGACTTTATATGAAGCCTTGTATGGAAGCAAGTGCAGGACATCTCTATTTTGGGTTGAAACAAGTGAAAGAAAGATCATTAGAGCTTATTTTGGTTGATGATGCTACTGAGAAGATTAGACTGATCAGAAACACACTGAAGAAAGTACAGGATGAGCAGAAACATACAATATTGCTTAGCATAAATCTATTGATTTTGATGTTGGAGAGTTTGTTTTCATCAAGGTGGTCCATTGAAAGGTCTGCAACGATTGGGAAGATTAAAAAATTGAGCCCTAGGTTTGTCGGTCCATTTGAGATTGTGGAAAGGATTGAGAAGGTAGCTTACAAGTTAGCTTTACCAGCTGATATGCAGGGAGTGCATTATGTTTTTCACATTTCTTCATTGAGAAAGTATATTACAGATGATGCTAGTAGGGTGATAGCAGACTTAGTTGATACAACCTGATCTAACCTATTTTGAGGAGGATACTGGATTGTGGTGTGAAGAAGCTGTGGAACAGATTGATCCCTTTTGTGAAGATTTTATGGTGGCATGCGTTGGAGAAAATTCTACTTGGGAGAAGGTCTCACGGGTGCAAGAAAGATCTCCTCAATTTTTTGTTTGAGGTATGTTATTTTTATTTTAACTCTTCAAATTTCAAGGACGAAATTTTATAAGGAGGGGAGATTGTAATAACAAAAAAAAATTATAATAGCAATCAAAATAATAATAAACAGAAAGATGCAGACGATTAGAGACACATTCCCTCGTAGAAACATATTGTTCATCCTTTCAAACGTCTTCTCATTTGATGCCATTGAACGGTCAAGCGAGAGAGGAAACTATGGTGCTCTAGCCGAAGAAGGAAGAAGAAGCCGCAGAAAGAAGCGTGTGGCCACTGTGCAAGGTCGGGCCATGCGGAGAAGAAGAGGAACGAGAGGGAGGCGATGATATCGAAGGCTTACGTGGACTGAGCCGCGATCGAGGAGGATGCTACGACTTCTTATGTTGGTGTTGTGCGAAGGAGAAGAAGCTGAAGTAGAGGAGGATGAAGGAGACCGTGGGTGCTATCTGCGTCGAAGCCTGCAATCCTTGCATGGGGCTTGTGCAAAGGAAAGAGGTCCTACACCGTTGGTGAGAACGAGTCGAGACCGATGGAGAAGAGAAAGGCGAGTCAATCTTCCTGCTGTGCTCGCGTGCGGGAAGAAGTGAAGATTTAGCTGCTCTGTGTTGAATTTAGATCGAAGGAAGAGGGGGAAAACTCCCAGCTACTGAGCTCGTGTGAGTTAGGGCAGGTCAAAAGTTTATAATGTATAATTGAGACTTTAAAATAATTTATTTATTTATATTGTTATATGAAAATGTGTTATTATGTGTGGACGTGTTTAATAATATTATTGGCAAGTTTTATTGAAATCAAGATTAACGATTAGTGATTTTTTATTCGAAGGAGAAGTTGGAGGAGCGTGCGAGTTAGAGGGATGATCGATCTGAACAATTTATAAGGTAATTTTCATATTTAAATGTAACAAATTATCCAAATGTAGATACTTAGATGTTAATACGCATGACTGTTGTATCCGCCTTAGTTATGTCTAAACATTGGGCCGAGTAGTGACATTAAACATTTTTTTTTATCATTTAAAATAGTTGGATTTATAGATTTTAATTGAAATTTTCATGATTCTCTGAGAATTGTTTATGGTGTTTGGTGAAATTCAAACATTATTAAGAAGATTTTAATCTATATTTTAGCTATTTGATTGATATTTTCATCATATTATGCCCTAATATTAAGAAAACAATTTTAAATAAATAATAAATATGAGTATTATGTACATGATTGCGAGCTATTTATTGAGTGCACTTGTTTGTTAATGCCCTATTTTGCTTGTGCAATGAGACAACATAATAAAATATAGAATTAGAAATTTTTGGTAGAATCTTTTAGTTTATATTAGGAATATGCCAAGTAGTAATTTCTATCTTTAAAAAAATATGTAAATTAAAGAGACTATAGAAAGAATCTTTTTATGGTTTTTGTTGTTTTCAATAAAATTATATTATCATGTATCACAATAATTGATTTGATGCTTACTAAGATAAAATTATGTGGCAGTATTTTAATTTTATTTAGATATACGTGATAGAGTATTGACTATTGCTATTAGAAGTTGAGTGGCTAAAATATTTCTAATTATATTGGCATGACATCAAGTTTTGACATTGTTTGCATATCTTCTTGTAATGGTTATTTAGATCCCTAGAATAGAAATATTTCAGTATATTCTTTTTTGAAGTAATAGTTATAATAGGCGAGACATTCATTATTATAAGTAGTTGGAACAATTGAGAAAATAATTAGAAGATGAAAGGATTAGAATTATTTGAAAAAAAAAAGTTGAGTATATAGATAAACCTTTACCAGTCAGTAATATTGAAATATAAATTATTATCCAACAGTTAAATATTTTGAATCCATTACATAGAGGAATGAAAATATAACATGAAGATTAAAGGTAAAATTTATAAAATTGCAATTAGGCCGATGATGGGATATGGCTTTGGGTTTTGGGTTGTAAAAGAGTTATTGATGTCTGAGTTGAGTGCGGTGAAGATGTAAATGCTAATATGTATGTATCAAAACTTACGAAAAATAAAATATGAAATGATTTTATTCTAGTATTTGGACTTGTACAATATTGGTAGAAAATGCATTCGTTAGATGTGTTGATAAAATTAATCTCAAAAAATTAGGTAGAAGGTATAAATTTAAGATGGTATGTATTGTTCAAAATGATTGGTGAAGAAAATAGATTCAGTATCTCGGACAACACTCAGTAGGAATGAATTGTTGGAGTCTTGATGATTCCTTTCCTGAAATTGGCTTTTAAATTTGGTTTGTAAATTATTAACCTTACACTCCATATGCCAAAATTTCTCTGTTTCACCTCAAAATTGGGATTCATTAAATTTTTTGTTAATCCTTGAGGACGTGACTTGCCTTTTAGATTTACAGGCTTGCTTAAAATATTGAGGATCAGGACTTTTTAAAGTGTGTGTTTTTTGTTGAGAATTCAGGGTGCATTGTAAAAAGTAGCGCATTTCAATGCATGATTTTCTACAGAAGCTTGCTGCATGGTTTGCCCTGACTGATAAGTCATCTTATACCTGCAGATTACACGAAGGGATGAGGAAGTGGCACCATTTGTTGCGGAATGGAAGAGAAACTATATATTTGGTGGAATAAGCAGCATTGCAGCAAACACTTCTGTCCAGGTCAGGTTTAGCATATCTCTTGAAGTGTGAATGAAAATGTTATTTTACAAACGGCTTGCTTGTGCTCATTAATTGTTGGTTTTCAATCTCTGAAAATTATTAATCAGGTTCTTGGTGAAATAAAGTCAATCAATTTACTGGGTGTCCAGCAAATATGCAGAAATTCTATTGCACTCGAACAGGTTAGTTGGAAAAAGAAAAAAATGGATTCTTTCAAAAATGGATTAATTAATTACTCTATGGAGTAATTTAATTATTAAAATTAATTATAATTCCAAAATGAGAAAATTTTTAGGGTTTAATCCTTTCATTTTTATTGATTTTTCCGAGGTTAGGAAAAATCCACAACGCCAAATTCACCAATTTTCACCATATGTTATAATTATTTTCAAAAATAAATATAAAAAATTAGAAAATTGGAAATTAAATTGAAAATTGGTTAGAAAATTTAGAGTAACGAACTTAAACTCAAAAATAACAATTTCTGACCTTTGAAAATTTTGAAATAACAATTTAGACATATAAGGGTATACATACATATATATATATATATATATATACCTTGTTCAACCTAATGTGATGCCAACATTTGGGCACCTTGTTCAACCTAATGTGATGCCAACATTTGGGCACCTTGTTCAACCTAATGTGATGCCAACATTTGGGCACCTTGTTCAACCTAATGTGATGCCAACATTTGGGCCGGTATTTGTACTAAAAAAATTGAAATTCCTTCAAATTTTTATTCTTGTAAATCAAAATTGATTTATGATAACATGTTGATGTGTGCACGCTCTCTCTCTCTCACACACACACACACACACTCTCTCTCTCTCTCATATGCAGGAAACACATGTTTATGCTTATTTATGCAGGCCGGTCTCTCTATTACATTTTTTTTCTTCACTGATGCTATAAAAAATTATGTACATATTCACAAGGTCAAAACGTCACCAAATCATTCCGACTCCTTACCCTCGCTTATGATTTGCTCTTTCCTTAACCAATATAATGCATATAGCAGAATTAAGCATAAGGAATCATAGAGGATTTCCTATATCCATTTTATAATTCAATTCCAATGAAAGAGAACAATATGCATGAATGTGATGCCAACAATTCATGCATCATGTTATTCATGTCATCGTCAACCATGTACTTGCATATCATGCATACATCTATATAATCTCTATGGTAATTCACCATTGTTCTCTTCCATGTCATGCTTGTATTGGATGATCATTTTATTTCATTTCATTTCCACTCATAGCTGTAATGGCGCAATTGGCATTCCAAAACACATCCCAGTATTTTCACCATGGTCCCATTGGCTGATGGGTATTATTAAAAATAGGTACCAGACACCAACACACATTATAAATTATTTATTAATTGATAATAGGCTTCAACTTTAAAATTAACTATAATTCATTGAATTCATACAACTTTGCTCATTATCAAATTCTAAACCACATAAATTTAGTCCTAAACATTTAAAACAATATCAGTTAAGTGTCAAAAATGATCCCAAAATGATCCCGGACTATTTTTAAAAGGGACAATTTTAATGTGAGTCTAAAAATATCAAATTAGTCCACATACTCTTTTAATGAGATTAAACTAGTCTTCCTTGTGGATAATTTCATCCCACATTATAACACTTTGCGGACTATATTAATATTTTTATAAACTTACGGACTAAAATGGCCATCTTCAAAAAAATCAAGGGATCATTTTGACACTTTTCTCTAAACCTTATTCTTCGTTTATATGGATCAGCACTTTATTATTGTTATTATTTGCAAAACTTTTGTTTGCGACAGGCCCTAGCCGCAATACCTTCAATGGACAATGAGGCTGTTCAACAAAGATTAGACCGTGTTCGGACATACTACGAGCTCCTAAATCTACCATTTGAGGTATTTACCACTGTTCTTTAAGCTGTTTTACCTTGCATTTCCCTCCTTGAATATTTACAATCTTTTCTGCATGACCAGGCGCTACTTGCTTTCATCACCGACCATGAGTACCTATTTACAGCCAACGAGTAAGCATCTGTCAAAATTGCAAAACAAAAAAAAAAAAATTAATAAAAACCTAACGTTGATTATTATTATTTTATTTATTTATCAAACTTTGCAGATATTCAAATCTTTTAAAAGTAAAGGTGCCAGGCAGAGAGATCCCTCATGATGCGCAGCAGCTGGTATCCGAGATCCTAAATCATTAGTCTATTGCTTTATGTTGCCAGGTTATTTTCGAAGCTGCTCCATCTAAATAACCTCTGAAGTACGCAGCTCTGCATATGTCTTACGTACTCAAAATTTGCTCCTGATGCTTAGAGTTAAAGGGAATAGCTCAGAGTTGATTTTTTTTTTAATTATTATTGTTTTTTTTATTCAAATTATTAAGTTTTGTTGCATTGCATTTATTTGTCTATTCTTTCAAGGGAGTTAAATTGAAACTGAAATGTATATTTAGTGAAATATTTCTATTGGGACTTGTGAGTGGTGACTTTATCTACCCTGCTTTCCGGGCATTTACATACATACCCGGTAATTTTTATGTATTTATATAATAAAATTTAAGGGGTTTGTATTTTTTTTTATTTTTGTTCTTATTTTATTTTTATATATGTTTTTACTTTTTGACATGTTATAATATTTTAGTTGTTTTTAAAATATTTAAAGAAAATTTAGGTCTTTGGAGTATGGTTAAAAACAAGCTAATTTTCTTTTAAAAATAAAATAAAAATAAAAATATATAAAAAAAAGCACTAATAAAATGTTTTTAAAATAAAAAAAATAAAATAAAGTTATCTCAAATAAACTTTAAAATTTAATATTTGGCACTCAAAATTTTAATATGAAATAAAAATATTATTGTTATTAATTTTAAAAAGTGAAGTACACTTTTTCATAAATTAAGTGTAAATAGAAAAATTTATATGTTAAAATATTAAATTTCTCAAGAATTGTATGGTACGTGTAAATATTTTTCTATTTATATTATCAGTGTGTGGGCTTCTGCCGCCGGGCCATCAAAATTCAGC